ACCAAGCATTGATTCATCACTTATTCCGCAAGGGTTTGTCTGCTACGATGGATACAGGTATTTATATTCAACCTCCTTGATAACTGCAACATGATATACTTGGGGTGCAACATGGCTTCTTGTTCTTCGTGTATTGTATTGGTATGCTACTGCAAGATTAGGATTTGATTGCTTCCCCTCAATTTCAGCATTTGACGAACGAACTAGGGTCATTTTGTAGCAACAAATTTTGTAGTGAATTGCCCATGGGGAGTGTAAAGCCACACTAACTGATCAGACATATTAGATGAGTTGAATCTATAAAATATATAGTTTCAACCGTTGAATGAACAAATATTTGTCTAACCAAGTCTTCATTACAATTCATTTGCGGGTGGATAATGAGATTTGCTATCTCCCATGTAGAGACATAAGGAACCACATTCTCATAAAGTTGTACCTCTTATTAGGGAGCCATGGATCATTTACAATGTTAATCTTCTAACCATTTTCCACAAGCCATCTACACCCCTTCAAAATTAATTAGGTTCCTTCAACTAAGCAAACCAGCCCAAGTACGAGAAATGTTTCCTTTCTCTTTAATACACTAAAAGGAATGATTTGTAAGATATTTCAAAGAGAGTTTTCTTCCGTACAAAACCACCAATACAACTTTCCAAACAAAGCCTTATTATTCCACTCCACATCCACATCCACATCCACAGGCCCCAAACCCCCCACTTCCTTCGACTTGAGATAGTATTTCTTTGACTTGGAAGTATCTTTCCACCAGAAGTCTCTACATAGAGAATTAATTTCTGAACATACCACCTTTAATTGGCCTTACCTAAGTTTGTTGTGATACATAGGGATGGTCTCAAGAGTAGACTTAATCAACATGATTCTACTTGTCTGAGAGAGAGTTTCAGCCTTCCTGCCTATAGTGTAGCCCCATTAAAAAAAGAAAAAGAGAGAGAGAGAGAATCTGGATCTTTGTGATAGGTGCTATGCCCTACTCGACAGATTGTTATTGCTTGCCACATTGTCAATCCAGCACGGTATAACCTTGCGGCAGTAAGTATTTCATTAAAATTGTCCCATTAAAATTTGGATGTCAACTTGCTTAGATCTCTAACCAATTCATTGACGTCAAAAGCTCATTCCATGTGTATACTTAATACAACTTAAATTTGATTTTCAACAAGTTCATGTATTGTTGCAGTAGATATTTGCTATTGCTATATATTTGTTGAGAATTATTTATTAGTTAGTGTTAATAGTCTGTATTAGCTGAGTTAGTTAGGTTGTTAAACAACTCATAACAAACTTTGCTGAGCTGGATTAGTTTGTTACTCTTCTCTCTCTTCTTTCTCTTTCCTACTCTTACGTGTATATAATGTAGCTTTAGCTGTTGTATTCAGCCAGTTACAAGTAATGAAGAATTTATTCTTCTTCTTTAATATTTTCTCTGGTTTTCTTGCTTTCTGTTCATGGTATCAGAGCAGAGATCCAAACTAGATCTTGAGCTCTCTTTTTGATCAAGTTGATGTTTGAAGAACGATGGAGGTTGATCTTGATGTTTCGGTGACAAGAGCAGGAGAAACACTAAACAATAATGGTGGAAATGTTATCAATGGCGTTGGTACAGGAAAAGAAGCTAATACTGGAAGCAATAATGGAGATCCTCTATTTTTACAGAATTCGGATCATCCAGGCATGATATTGGTGTCTAGTCCACAGACTGGAAACAACTATTTGACATGGAGTAGATCAATGAAGATCGCACATGGAGCTAAGGTAAGATTAGGTTTCATAAATGGAAGTTGCAAAGCACCAGAACCTGATTCACCAACTTTTGAGCAATGGACAAGAGTGGACTGTATGGTAACTTCTTGGATACTAAACTCTATTTCTAAGGACATTGTTGATGCTTTTCTATACTCTACATCTGCTAGAGATCTTTGGCTAGAATTGGAAGAAAGGTCTGGAGATTCAAATGGACCTTTATAGTATCATTTGCAATGAGATATTAGTACAATTAGTCAAGGAAATCTAACTGTGGCACAATATCATACCAAACTGAATAAACTTTGGGATGAATTGACATGTATCATGCCACTTTCTCAATGTACTTGTGGTGCAGCTAAGAGAATGTTTGACATTACTTCTTCCAATAGGCTGATGCAGTTCTTAATGGGACTAAATGATTCTTTTGATCATATTAAGAATCAGATCCTACTAATGGATCCACTACCTACTGTTAACAAGGCATATTCATTGGTGCTTAGGGTGGAAAAACAAAGAGATGTTCATATTGCTTTTGCTGAAACCGTTGATGGAAATGCTATGCTTGCTAGATCACAGAATTACAGGAAAGATGGAATAGGAAGAGGTGCTACTAGGAAACCACCAGGTTATGGTAGATTTGAATTACAAAAGCAAGATTATGACAAAATAGAATATAGACACTGTGATCATTGCAATAGAGATAGTCATACAAAGGAAACTTGTTTCAAGATTCATGGCTACCCCGATTGGTACAAGGAGCTGAGAAAACAAAAGGGAAACACTCAAGGAAGAGGTAGAGGTGGATTTTTAGGAAGATACATGGCCAATAATGCTTATCAAGCTGATACTCCTCTGGATGTAGATACTGAGTTACCAGCTGACCAAAATCCAGATCAAGCACCTCATCTCAGCAACATGATTCGACAAGAGCTCATGAAGATTGTGAAAGGGAAAATGACTGCTGATAGCAACCATGTCAATTTTGCTCACCTGGATACTTATGCAGGTATGAAAGTTCAATATCCTTTTAACTCTAAGGATAGTACACTTGCTGTGTTAGATGTAGGAACCTGGATAGTTGATACTGGTGCTTCAAACCACATGTGCACTGATTTAAAATTACTTTTTCAACCTAAACTAGTAACTCAAATCATACCTATACATTTACCTGATGGACCATAAAATTTGTTCAACATATTGGCCATGTGAAACTTAGTCATGATCTGATTTTGACAAATACTTTACACATTCCCTCCTTTAAATTCAATTTGTTATCTGTTAGTAAATTAGCCATTATAAACAACATTAAATGCACTTTTTACCCTACCTATTGCTTGTTGCAGGACCTGCAGAATGAGAAGATATTAGCAGTTGGTAAAATGATAAAGAACTTGTACATTTTGGACAAGTCCTCTTTTTCTATTGATAGAATTCAACAATTTGTTTGTAATAAAGAGTTTGCACACTGTGCAATGATTCAGAATGCTTGTAATAGAACCTTTCAAACTGCTACATGTAATAAGTCTCATTTCATCAATAAAACTTCTATTCCTGGATTAGTTATTTGGCATAACAGATTAGGACATGCATCTGTTACAGCCTTACAACACCTTGATTTTTGTCCTGCCAATGCATCATTACCTATTTGTGAAATCTGTCATTTGGCTAAACAACAGAGATTGCCTTTTCCAGTTAGTAAAATCCATTCAGAGAGCATTTTTTATTTGATGCACTTAAGACTTATGGGGCCCTTATAAACATCCTTCAATTACTGGTGCACATTATATGTTTACACTTGTTGATGATTTCAGTAGAAGTACTTGGATATATTTTCTTAACCATAAAAGCTTGACTGTATCTTCATTCATTACTTTTTTCAAAATGATTGAAACTCAATTTCATAAGAAAATTAAATGTACCCATTCTGACAATGGCACTGAACTTCTCAATAAAGATTTTCAAAGTTTTCTTTCTGACCAAGGTATTTTGCACTAGAAAAAGTTGTGTTTATTCTCTACAACAAAATGGTGTTGTGGAGAGAAAACACAAACACCTTCTTCAAATTGCAAGGTCTTTGATGTTTCAAGCAAACTTACCAAAAATATTTTGGGGACATGCTTTACTAATGGCTACACATATTATAATTGTTTTGCCTACTGTTGTTTTACATTGGAAAATACCTTTTGAAGTATTGTATAAAAGGAAACCTGACTATAAATATCTAAGGACGTTTGACTGTCTTTGTTTTGCTACAAATACTCACCCCCATAAGGACAAGTTTGCACCAAGAGCTCTTAAATGCATTTTTCTGGGTTATAGCTTAGGACAGAAAGCTTATAGACTTTATGACCTCAATGACAGAAAACTTTTTATCTCTAGGCCCATATCGTTCTTTTTTAGCTAAACCTTCTACTTGTCCCTTACCAATTGTAGATCCAATTTCTAATTATGATTTTCCTTTTTCATCTACAATTCCTATTCCCAATTCAACTACTCCTGTTGATTCTGTTCCCCAAATTGAATATGATCCTGTTTTGTCTACTTCTGTTGATTCTACTCTTGTTGATACTTTTCCAACTCCTGTTTTGTCTCCTCCTTCTACTCATTCAACTAATCCTTCTTCACTTACACTTCCTACATTACCTGCTCTGAGACAAAGCACAAGAATAAAAAACAAACCCGTTTGGCTCAAGGACTTTGTTACAAATTTATCAATTTATGATCATTTACCTATTGCTAATATGGTCTCATTACCCCCTACTAGTTCCAATTACACACCTCCTACTTTTCCCTATACCCAATCTCCATTTTTTGATAGTGCGTATTTGAGTTTTTTAGCAAATGTATCAACTATTCCAGAACCTAAGTCTTACACTCAAGCTAGTACTCATCCAGAGTGGGTTAAAGCTATGAACAAAGAGCTAGAAGCTCTAGAACAAAATCAGACTCGGGAACTGACTGCTTTGCCTAAAGGGAAGAAAGCTAAAGGCTCAAAATGGGTTTTTAAGGTCAAGTTGAATCCTGATGGTACCATTGAAAGGTACAAAGCAAGGCTTGTGGCTAAAGGTTATCATCAAGTAGCTGGCATTGATTATTTTGATAGTTTTAGTTCTGTTGCAAAGCTTGTTACTGTTAGAATTTTTCTAGCAGTTGCTACTGTTAAGAATTAGCCAATACATCAACTTGATATAAACAATGCCTTTCTCCATGGTTATTTGGATGAGGAAGTTTATATGCTTCCACCAGAAGGCTATCAGAAGACACAAAAAGGAGAGGCTTGTAAGCTAAAAAGATCACTTTACGGCCTCAAACAGGCTTCCAGGCAGTGGAATTCTGAATTCTGCAATAAGCTTCAATAGTTTGGTTTTTTGCAATCCAAACATGACCATTGTCTCTTTGTCAAGCATACCCCTAACTCATTTTTAGCTCTCCTTGTATATGTTGATGATGTGCTTGTGACAGGTACAAGTGAGAGTGAAATTATCTCAGTAAAACAATTTCTTGATTCTGCCTTCACAATCAAAGACCTTGGCTATGCAAAATACTTCACCGGGCTTGAAATTGCAAGGAGCAGTACTGGTACTTATATTAACCAACGGAAGTATGCCTTGGATATACTCAAAGATGCCGGTTTGTTAGGGGTTAAACCTGCTCAAACTCCTCTTCCTAAAGGATTGAAGTTTTCTGATAATAGTCATGCACTACCTGATCCTGATAGGTATAGGAGATTAATTGGCAGATTGTTGTATTTAAGTCTCACCAGGCCTGATCTTTCTTATGCCACCCAACATTTGAGTCAATTTGTCAGTTCCCCAACTCAAGATCACTGGAATGCAGCTGTCCACTTGCTCAAATACCTTAAGGGTTGTCCCAGCAAAGACTTGTTTTTCTCCTCTTCCAACACGTTTGATCTCCAAGCTTACTGTGATGCAGACTGGGCATCTTGTCCACAAACCAGAAAGTCACTTACAGGTTATTGCATGTACCTGAGCTCTTCACTTATTTCTTGGAAGACTAAGAAGCAGACAACTGTATCTAGGTCCTCAGCCGAAGCTGAATACAGAAGTCTTGCCACTACAATCTGTGAAGTGCAGTGGATATCCTACATTCTTGCAGATTTTCGAATCCCTCTTCAGCTTCCCATCCCTCTTTGGTGTGATAACCAAGCTGCATTACACATCACAGCAAACCCAGTCTTCCATGAGTGCACAAAACATCTGGAAATCGACTGTCATTTGGTGATGGACAAGTTCAAACAGGGTTTTGTTAAGCCTTAGTACATTTCTACACATGCTCAAATCGCAGACATCTTTACAAAGCCACTGGTAGGTCCTTAGTTTCATTCCTTGCTTTCCAAGTTGGGCTTGATCGATCTTCATCAAGCTCCAACTTGAGGGGGGGATGTAGAGAATTATTTATTAGTTAGTATTAATAGTCTGTATTAGCTGAGTTAGTTAGGTTGTTAAACAGCTCATAACAAACTTTGTTGAGCTGGATTAATTTGTTATTCTTCTCTCTCTTCTTTCTCTTTCCTACTTTTACGTGTATATAATGTAGCTTTAGCTGTTGTATTCAGTCAGTTACAAGTAATGAAGAATTTCTTCTTCTTCTTCAATATTTTTTCTGGTTTTCTTTCTTTTTGTTCAATATTCAGGATTTACCAAAAAATTCCACCTTTTTAGAAGTTAGAACGTGTTTTGAAGGTATTTCAGTTCAATGTAGAAAGGATATCAAAAGCTCCTGTTTTTCCAATGAATGTACAAGGGAAACGGTTGGTTACATGATTTTACCAATATAAAGAGCAAAGGTCAGAGAGGTTCTGTGGAATTGGGTTATATCAAATCTGGAATTGGGTGCTAGATTAAGCCTATAACCGGATCGAATTCGGATGAATGTATAAATCCGATTTCAATTCGATAATGAAATTACTGCCCCCGTATCTGATCCAAAATTCAATTGCATGAATAGGAGGTCAATTCAAATTGGAATTTGATCGGATGCATCAGATTTTGGATTTCACCCAAATTCAATGGAATTTAAGTAAGAAGAGATATGGATAGTGATTGAAGAGAATGAATTTAAACAAGAGACAAAAAAAAAGGAGAAAATGTAAAATAAGCAAAAAGAGAGGCAGAGACTCGGAACTATAGAGAAAAATGACAAATTTTTTAAATTACCCCTAAGATTTAGGAAATTGATTAATGCTGCCCCTACAGTTTCAGTATTGTTTTAAAGTACCCTTACTGTTTCTGACAATTGATTAAATCCTCCCCTATCATTAATTTTCCGTTTCACTCGATCACATATGACCACGTGACCGATTTTTCTTCAAAAATTCCAAAAATACCTTTTGAAATCTTTCTTTTAAAAGATTCACCACAGTCGACCCTTCTCTCCAATTTTCCACTAGTGTTGTTCTCACCGCTCATGAGTAGTGGCATCTCTGTTCTTTTAGATCTGCAACTCCCAGTTTTATTGAGGTTTTTCTTTTTTATTGAGGATCTCCATCCTGGCAGTCGGTCAAAACTCACCTGGTGTCGGCGTCTCTACATTACTCACCAGACAGCTGAGGTGGATCTACTTGGCGCAAGCGATGAACCAGCTCAGTCCTATTGGGAGGATGCAGATCGCTGTTGTCATTTCATTTTTAAAATCTGAAAGAAAATAAAGGATAAAATAGTACTGTTCACTTTCTTGTTAAAGAACGCTAATGGTAAGGAGAATTTAGTCAATTATTACAAACAGTGCGAATACTTTAAGACAATATTCAAACAATAAGGGTAATATTAGTCAATTTCCTAAACATAAGGATAATTTAAGAAATTTGCCCAAAAAAAATGTTGAAAGAAAAAATTGTTGTAATAGATAATTTGCCTTACATGATGGTAATGGAAGGCTGGAAGCGGCCATAACACGTTGATACCTCCAACGAATGCAACGTTGCCCTAATTTCTCATCCTCTAACCTACAGTGGGCACCATCTTCTTGATTTTATTGTTTTGTTTTTTGGTTTAAATATCCGTTAGAAGAACGAACATAACCGAATGACCTATTAGGAGCCACAGATCAGCAGCATAACAGCATGTTTACGACAAAGTGCCCAAGTAGTAAAATGAAGCTATAGTTTCATGGCAGTCCGTCCGTGAAGCGATTTCATGGCCGACAACAGTTGAAGACTTAAATGGTTTCACCTTTAATGGCGGCAGAGGTTGGGAGAGAACAGAGAAGGAACAGACTTGTTAGGATTTAGGTATTGGGTTTGTTTCTTCGATTGTAAAGGCCTCATAGGTATTGGAGAAGAGCATTTCTTCAGTTGTCCCTAAAACTTATTTTATATATTAAATTACAATGTATCAAAGCATTCGTTTGGAAAGTGAAAGTGAAAACCATGCAAGGTATTTTAGAATATTCACATTTAATATATTAATAATATACAAAATCAATCAGAGTCAGATTTTTATCGGATCGGATTGGAGTACACCCGAATTCGATCCAATATCTGAGGTAATCGAATTGGATGCCGGATCGAACTGCAGATTTTTGGGTATTATCGACTGGCCTATTCCAGATAGGGTAATGATACAATTCAATTACGACAATGATTTCTATAATAGACCATGCAATTCAGTAAGCTTCAAGCACACCTTATAATTCATAAAATTCATCTTACAGACCATGCATCAAACCTCGAACATTCCCAGTTGACACCCTTTTCTTGTTCAGATTGATTCTAAATATACATGTTAATAAAGAGATGATCTCGTTAAGGATGTGACAGGGAAAAGCAGGAATTCATGCACCACCCTCATGCATGTCACCCAACAAAAAGACAACCTTTTCACAGGACATTGAGGCGTTTATTGCTAGAGTCAGGCCATCAAGGTGTCTGTTGCATTTCAAGGAAGTTTTCAATTGTTTGGATTCAGACAGTCAATGCCTGCTTACCTGTTGTTGCAAGGTGCTCAAAAACCGCTCAGGCTAGATCTCCAGAAGTGATTCTTCCAGTTGGTGACCTGTGATCATTGAGAAGTCTCTGCATTACCTGCTATTGAGGTCATACATACAATTTAGAGGAATGAGAAACAGAATATGTATGGTGGCAATAGGTTGAGGGTACTAAAAAAGAAATATCAGGAAGGCAAAGGCAAATGAAAACCTAATCAAGGCGGTTTGAGGCTTCCTATCAACCCCTCTTATTATCAGAACTAGACACACAACCTTGATAACCGATGTTGCCTTGTTTGATACCATATGCTATCATAGTGGTAATGGTAAGGCAAACCTCTGTAATCATATGGTGGTAAGGCTATCATGACTCGAAAGTCATGAAAAAGAGAACTTTCTTTTAAAGGTAAAGTAATCGTGTATTAAATGAAAATGAGAACTTCACCAACTCAATTTGAAATATGGCTTTAGACCTCACCCTTCAAATGACACATGGAGGGGCACTGACCAGTCATAGCATAGGAATTACTTATTAATACCGAACCCACCCACATAGATGGATTTTCCCTTTTGGAAGATTGCCCACCCATTAACCCCTTCCACATCTCTCATGACACAACACAGGATAGGTTTGGGGATATGCCCGAACCAAAACCAATGGGGTTATGGCCACCCCAAAAAGGGGTCCAGAATTAGGCAAACAAAGTGGCACCATTCTTTCAAAATGGTTTCAGTCCAAGCAATCAACAATGGATAAGCAGGGATTTGATTTGGGTTCAATGACCCTTAAGTGCATTTCAATCAAATTTACGTGGTGTGATTCTTGTGAAATGAAGATACCTTTGAAACATGGTACTACCACTGTTTCTGAGAGCAATGGATTTAAATGCTGTAGCCCATTCTTGCTTTCTGGATTCAGGCAACTTTTCATCACCAATAAAGGGGGTCCAAGACCCTGTAGCCGAATCAGTAAGAACCCACTTAACTTTTGCTGGCCGGTTGAGAAAATCAAAGGTCGAACCATTAGCCCTCTTTCCTCCTGAGCTAGGATGCTCAGACGTCTTCAAAGGCTAGTAATATAAATTAAGAGATCACATTTAAAATGTTTGTTAAAAAAATCCACTGTATTTCTATCAAATAGGGAGTCACCTTTAACTCACCGTTACATCAGCATTGGTGTCTTTCTTCTTTGATTTTGCCCTCTGCCTTCCAGACATTCCTGTTTCCAAAAAGCAGAGCACTTCCCTCTTTGACCTAAACTGACGACCTGAGACTGGGTCATAGAAATACTGCATAGCATAGTAACACATTCATTTTCCTAATACCTATAAAGTAACTACTAACTAGTATGTTATTGCTTTTCTTTCCAGCAATACCAGCATATTATTGGTATCAACTCAACTTAGAAATTAACAAGTTTCAGCATTTATTGGGAAATTGCAATCACAAGCACATATAACATCAGTTTTGGGTAGATATTTAGAAGTGCCAAATTAGAGTTGTTCTGCACGCCATGGAATTCTATGATAATTTTTGTTGTCTCAAATATGCCTTTGCACAACAATGTAAAGATAAAATACTAACAGTATCAGAAACAATGGCACCATTACAAATTCCAGGAATTAATATGTTAACTTTTCACTGAGTTAGATTTTTCAATGAGCAAAAGCTAATTGTCCCTAAGTTTCAGGAGACTAATTCTCTATAACTGATCAACCTTACGAGTCTGGATCTCCTGCCCACGAGAACTCTGCCCACGTTTATCGGAGCCACACATGGAGAACATCACATCCTCTGCATACTATTATGCAGGGGGAGATGTTCCCAATTCACGGGGGTAGTGTATTGTGGGTAGGCGTGGGCAGAGTTCTCGTGGGCAGGTGATCCGGACTCTCAACTTACAAGTATCCACATACAAAATGAGAATCAAATATGAAATTAACTGGCATAAAAGGCCCAATAAAAATAAAATATTAACAGGGAAAAAAATACTATTGGAGAACCCACMCACCCACCCACACACACATTAAAAGAACAGGTAAAAACCTAAAGCCCGGATTAGATTTTTCAATGAGCAAAACCTAATTGTCCCTAAGTTTCAGGAGACTAATTCTCTATAACTGATCAACTTACAAGTATCAACATACAAAATGAGAATCAAATATGAAATTAACTGGCATAAAAGATCCAATAAAAATAAAAGATTAACAGTGAGAAAATAAAGCAATGACGATAGATATCTCTACCCAAGATGAAGAAATAATACAAGAATTTGCACTCCTACAACTTTGACAGTTACAACATTAAATATTCAAGCCTCATAACATCTATGAGACTATGACAAAAGAAGGAGAGGAAAGGGGAAGAATTTCTAATCGAGGTTAACCGAGTCCTATTATTCCGCAAAACCACATCAATGAGACCAACCTGCCAACTTAATAGCCCAAGGATGATATCATCTATGTGGAGTTCGGTTTTGTGAGGAGGATATAAAAGGACTTCCGAAGACATTTCTTTGGGCACCTAATAACTCATGCTTTCAGAACCTCATCTAAACAATGATGCAGTTCCACAGGTCAAGCTTTCAAAACCTAATAATTTCATAAGTCGTGAAAGAAAACATATTCTAGTAAGTCGAGAAACATTTAGAAAGAACAGGAAAAATCGAAATATAAACCCAAATACTGAAGAACCCTATAGCTTAACGGCCGCAAACAATAGAAGAAGAGAACATAACTATGAAATAAACAATAGTAAAGGCATAACAGAGTCGCTTAAATGGATTTCGACAGAGAAAAATAAAGGGAGAAATTGATCCAGGCTAAAGTCAACAAACCGCACAGTTAAGGAGGGTTAAACGGTTGAGGGTAGGTAAGCCAATTACCCTGTCTCTCATTCCAGCAGTAACACCAGAGCTCCGGACTCTGCTCTCCATGCGCCAACCCGGTGGTAACCAGTCCGGCAAATCTTGCGACGCAGGCACGATCGCTAGCTCGAGGCCCGTTTTCGCCGCCCCTCTGCCCCTCTTCCGTGGGGGAAATTGCGATAGGGGCTCGACCACCTCAGGAGCCGGGGTCTGCATGTGCACATCCTCTGAATTATTGGCTTCGAAATCCAATTCAGGCTCTGTCTTTGCAATCTGTGGGGTGGATTCCCCGGGTTGAGAAGAAGACGGGGGCGAAGGCGACGGCAGCTCCATCTTTTCGGCAGCTATGGGGCCTTCTGCAGGCGCAGCTTCTTTATCAGCTTCGCCTGTCAAAGCGTCAATTAGGGCTTCGACTTCTTTGATGTCCGCGGCGGCGAGTGCATGTGCATCAAATTCAGGTCCGGGAACCGACGGTAAATCGGGGATGACTTGGCCGATAAAGTTGAATTCAGGTGGATCATTCGACGAGGGTTTCGCGTCCGGTTTTGAAGTTTCGGAGGCCGACATGTGGGCGTTTGGTTTAGATTCAGAGATAGATGGTCTGATCTGATGACAGTGTGGATCACCCTTCACCCAGTTGGTTATATATACATACACATAGCACATAGGGAATCGAAAAATCTAATCGGAAGGGGTGTTACCATCTCCTGAGATCTGAAGATCGTAGACGTTGGATTGGGCAAAGTGGTGTATAGCGTCCAAATGTCCACGTCGCTTGTTTGTATCATCTTCATCTGTCATGACGTAGGCGACGGCGAGAGACTGGATGGTTTACAGTTACATCTCCCGCTTTTCCAATTCAGCTGCTTTGTTAGTTAATTCAGTTATTATTTTTCTCTCTTTTTTTTTTTTCCTTTTTCTTGTGTTATTTGCTGTTATATCCAGTATAAATAAGAGATGAGTGCTGACTGCTGAGTAAACACGGGATTATTTCTAAATACAGCTTATAAAGTGAACACTAATATATGTACACATATGGAACATTATTAGGCGAGTCAGGTCCCACATAATATTCCAGATGTGTGACGCAAGATGCAATTGTAAGAAAGGATGTGATGGGAAAGGAATATATTTTTTTTCTCAATTTTGTATCGGGTGTTTGTTTCCGAATAAGATTATGATCAAAATTTATCTTCTCGTGTTTGTTTTTTAGGAAATGAACCATGAAATTACAATGAAGAGAATAGAACATCCATCAATCAATATTCCCCGTGGAAGTAAATACATCCAATATTGCAAGAGACAAACCAAGAGAAAGGGAGCTGTAAACTGATATCTACAGGGATACACAACAGGGGAATTGTTACCTCAGACGATTTGTTTTCTGTTTTGACCTACAAAAAATTCAAAAAACAATATTTGAAGACATGAATCCAGCCAACAAATGAAGGAGATGACCACTCTACTACTTGCTGGCGATGAAAAATATGAACAGGGCTGGAGGGGTAAGAAATTAAGATGGGAAAGGGTGAGAACTCAATCAAAAAAGGAGGAAATGGTGTAAAAATAAATCAAATTCGCGAAAGGATAATAGATGGAGCCAGAGAAAACAGAATTGTCATCGGAGATGTAGCTAGAGATGTTGCTTGAGATCACCTGAGATGTCGCTTGAGATCGCTAGAGATGTTGTTGCAAACGTTGCTCGAGAAGACAGTACTGTCATCGAAGATGTAGCCAGAGATGTTGCTGGAAAAGTTGCTCGAGATCATCGGAGATGTAGTCGGAAATGTTGCTCGAGATTGTCGGAGATGGAAGAACTCAACCGTCGCTCGAGATCGCCAGAGATGTATCCATTGGAAGGCATGTAGAAGGAGGACGAAGAGGGAGCCTAGTATCTCTCTGACAAGGCTCAAAGCTTTCTCAATAATGCCTTTCTTAGTGGGGTCTCACTAAAATGGTGTGACCCCGTGTCCTTCATTTTGGGATCTCATGTCCCTTGTTTTCCATTCCTATCCCATTGTTTCTTTGAAAACAAGCATTGAGAAAAAAGAATATTCCTTAAAGATGTTTCCCATCCCATCTCTTTCTTGGCAACCAAACGGACCATTAACCTACTCTTGTATAAATTATAATCTTTTAAAGAGTTAATGTAAATCCTTTTTTTTTGCCTAAAAAATAGCGCAAATTCTGGCTTAATTTTGCTTGATATTTTATTATATTTCGCTCAAGTTTTTCTTTTACTTCATCTACAAAGTACAAACAAATAAAACAAGTCAAAAGTTAAAACAAGGATAAATTAGAATTTACAATTAATTCATTTGTACTCGCATACTTCGGCAATCTGTACATGGATTGGTCAAGGTGAATCTAGGTTAAAAACTTACCTACCAAAATTACAAATACATGGATAAATGGATAGGAATCATGTTGGAATAAGTGCATTTATTAAATATGAAAAATGATAAACAAACATCACATGATAGTAATATTTGACAATAAATCATCATCATCATAATAGTAGTCCAATGGGATCGGCGATATGAATCTATTTGGCCAATCTGTTTTGTTTAAATCTGATGGTGCACATTTCGACAGTTTCTGACTGACAGGTGACTTGGATGCTTGGCTTAATAATTCCTACCTGGAATGTGGTTTGGATACCTAGTTGAATGGTTCCTACCTGGAAAGTGGCTTGGACGCCTAGCTGAATGGTGACAAGCTGGAGAGGTTGCTCTAACGCCTAACTGAATGGTGACGAGTTGGAGAGGTGACTCTGATGTCTATCTGAGTGGTGACGAGCTGGAGAGGTGGCTCTAATGTTTAGCTGAGTGGTGACGAGCTGGAGAGGTGGCTCTGATGCGACCTGCAAGGACATAGTGTCAGAGTGCCTGAGTCGCTTTACCCGGGGTGGGCACTCCGATGCTTAAGTTAGCGAATCTGAGATTTTAAGATAGCTAAATGTGAGAGAGCTGGAGATCTGCGAGAACTAAATTGCGCATCTCTCCCCTAGAGTTGGAGGTAAGGCCTTTATACAGGCACTGTTTGGCATGAGAATCACACAACACGTCCGCGATCTCCGGGAAGACGTGCCTAACTGATTCGAAGTCCTCGGAGGTAGTCGTACACGTAGGCCAATCTTTGCGCCTTACTCGGTTTCTCCCAAAACATTCGATGTGAGAGCTGACTTCCGAGAGACCCGGGAGTGATGGGATGAATGCAGAAATCAATGACGAGCATGTCTCGTAGGTCGCCAGGTAGACCTCAATCAAGTCGGCTAGCCCTCGAGGGAGGTCGCTCCCCACGTCGAGGTCGCTTCAGCCGATACTAACGAGGTACCACAGGTCGACCCTAGACAAGGTGCTGGCTAGGTTTCTACTAGGTTGGGGATGGAGGCAAGTCGCTAGGTCGGTGCTAGAGGCAGGTCGCCAAGTCGGCGATGGAGGCAAGTCGCCAAGTCGACAATAGGGGAAGGTCGCTAGGTCGGCGCTAGAGGCAGGTCGCTAGGTCGGCACTAGAGGCAGGTCGCCATGTCAGTGGTAGAGGCAGGTCGCCAGGTCGACACCAGGGGTAGGTCACCAAGTTGAAAACAGGGGCAGGTCACCAGGTCAGCGCTAGAGGCAGGTCGCCAGGTCGGCACCAGAGGCAGGTTGCCAAGTCGGCACCAGAGGCAGGTCACCAGGTCGGCGCTAGAGGTAGGTCGCCAGGTAGGCACCAGAGGTAGGTCTCCGGGTCAGC